TGGTTAATATATTTTTGTACTTTATTTGATTGAATTTCAATCAAATTATGTTTTAAAATATTTCATTTGAGTGAATGATCGAAAATTGCTATTATTTGTTTTTCTTTGAAGTAAATTTAGCCTACTTTTGCTCAAAGAAAAAATATGGGCTATTGATGGTGCCTTGAATAATACCGGCTTCTTTCATTCAATGTTAATGTTATGTGTATTTTTATACAAAGAAACTTTGTCTTTTGTTCCTGTTTAAAATTAAAGTTTACTGACAGTCATAAGAAAATGTTGCTTTATTTATTTGATCATACTGGAATGTAGTAGTTAGGTTTTCAGTAGATTAAAATCAGTTCAATAAATTATATGCGGTAAGTTTAAAAATTTTCAATGAACATTCAATCAGTCCGGTGCTCGGCTTGGAGCAAAATTTTTTATTTGGCCCTCCCTCCATTTGTCTTTGACACCCCTGCATTAGAGGATTACTGATTGTCAAACTGCTTTTTTCTTTGCTGGTATTTCTTTTATCAGAATAAAATGCTAGTGCTTGGTGGGGACCAGAAATATGTTGTTGAACAGGCCAATTACATCTGCAGTCAGTTTCCCCCTGACTACAGTTCACCATGCCTGCACATAGATGTTTCAGTGTCGAATAAAGGTTCAGGTCGGAGAACATAATGAATGAATGAATGAATTGCCTTTATTGTCATTACATGTTCGTGCAACGAAATTACACTTAACAGGCACACTCTGCACAAGAAATATGAAAACAATGACGAACATGAGATACAGTGCAAAGGGCCTGTCGGTACTCGCTATGTGAAGCGCCCCGAGATCGTAGTTCAGAAAGGAAACCACTAGGGAGGGAGAGGGAAAAAAAAAAACATGCTCGAACTATCCTCTTCTGAGGATAATTAAAGTCTAGGAGGAAAAAAAACACCCTAGCACGTAAACAAGCATATGACAGTTACAACAAGTCACAAGACAAAACATGTAATGAGGGCGTGGATGGATGGGAGGGGGGGGAGGACGCGACGCAGCCCGTCCAACCAGCTGCTCAGTCCATCCGCAGATCAGTTCACGTCGCGGGGAAAGAAAACACAGGAACGATGAAGGCGGTGATACAAGGGTGTGTATGCGCGTGTGATTGTCTGGTTGTGTGTGCGTGTCAGGCTGCAGCTGCTTCGTCAAGGTCTTCTCATGGAGACAGTCCTGGCTTATCAGTCAATGGTCGAGAAGGAGGGGGTGATGGTAGGGCACTACCTTCCATGCGTACGTTCTTCCAGGGGAAAGGTCCAAATAGCAGATGTTTTGGGAACGGCTGCCAACAATTGCAGGCAGCCTTGAGTCCGTGGTCTGTGTCTCTTCAATGGCGCCGATCAGCCAAATCCGCGATTTCTTTTCTGAGCGCGGATCCCAATTTCTCCAAGTTGTTCTCCATCTTGCAATGACGCTCCAAAACCGCATCCATTTTGCGGTTGAGCTCAGTCACCGCTTGAGTCTGAGTGTTGGACATCCGCGCCATGCCATCCAAAAAGACCGGCAGCTTCTTCACTTCCAATAAAGCCACTCCCGTCGGTTGAATTTTACGATAGATCAGGAAACTGCTAACACGAAACAGCAGCATACCTGCTATCAGAAGGCCGACAATGTAGATGTCTTCCACATCCTCAACGGACAGTATTGACAGGCACACCATTCTCCACTTCCTCCAAGGCTCTAGGGTGTACCCGACAGCAAATGTCCCCGAGGAGCAAGTAGGCTCCCCACTGCCTGCTCTTCTCGTCGAGAAAATGTTGTCGATGGCATCAAGAGACCAGCCAACAAATTCCATGATTTGTTTTCAGGATGAAAATACGGCAGGAGGCTAGGATAGTCAGACAAGGACAGCACATAGACTGAGTGGCGAGCAAGGGAGGGTGAGGGGAAGACAGGAGCAGAGCAAAAAAGCGTTCGCCTTCGTCGAGAGCCAAGCAAGAAAAATACGGAAAGAAAAAAAACAACAGAAAAAATGCTGCATGAGGAGAGAATTAATCTGCAAAGTTGACCGAAGAAGAAAACAAAAGACTAAAGTGACATTTTTTTTGTTAAGTACTGCATCCTCGTAACACTACTGTTTTATTATTTACATTAGAGTCAATACATAGTTTGAAATATTTTGTTAAAACTCGATTTTCTATAAAATAGATAATATTTAGAACATTTTAATTTCATTTATTTGTCAAATTAAGGCTTCAAAAGAGTACTACTATATGTTTTTTGTTTTATTTTCGACCCACACAGAGAAGAGATACTTCAGGGCTGCACAATGTATCATCACATGGCACATGCAGTGCAGAATGCAAAAGACGTCCAATAAATTCATATTGAATTGTGTGTGTGTGTGTGTGTGTGTGTGTGTGTGTGTTTGTTATGAGTTTTTAATCATCCTCCAAGAAAATGACACTGGAGACTATGTCTGTCTTGTTTTGTTGGATCGGAGTGCAGCGTTCCATACGGTGGACCACAGTACTGTATTCTGCTGGCTCATTCGCAGCACCAGGTGGGCTTTAGTGGGAGCCCTCTTGAGTGGTTTGGAACCTATTCAAGCCTAGGTTGCTCTGAGTCCCACCCCTCTGTTTTATTGTGCTCCACAGAGTTCTATTTTGGGGTGCTGTTTTCATTCTATTTCTGATCCATCCGAAGAAAACATGGTATTTCCTTCAATTTCTATATGGATGACAGTCCCGCACATCAACCCAATTCTGGCTTTCCTTCACTGGCTGCCGGTACATTTTAAAGTTAATTTTAACATACTTCTATTTGTTTTCAAATCTTTAAATGGCCTTGCCCGACCTTACCTTTGTGATCTCCTCCAGTGCAGTCTCAGACTTGGTGGAATCAGCACAAAGCCATTTCTGCAATCTAGTAGTGAGTGATATTAGAACTTTAAACTACAGCTGACCCCTGCACAATCAAGTCAGAATTCTGAGAATAAAGTCAGAATTCTCACTTTAAAGTCAGAATTCTGAGATTAAAGTCAGAATTCTCACTTTAAAGTCAGAATTCTGAGATAAAAGTCAGAATCTTGCCAACCTTGTTTTTTTTTTCTTCACTGGCCCTAATCCTCTTCCGTAATCAGGGTTAGCCACCTGCGGATTTGCAATTTTTTTCTTTCCTAGTGCAGTATATTAAAAAAAACAAACAAACAAACACACATATTTTGGTGTTTTCCCCAATTTTAAGACAAGATGAGATAACATTACCTTTATTTGTCCCACACTGGGGAAATTTGCAGTCTATAGAAGCAAAATTGGGAGGGGGGAATGGGGTAGAAAAGAGAAAAACAAAGTGTTGCATGTACAAAATAAATGTTTCAGAAAAAGAACTGTACACTGTATAGAATGCAATATAAATATAAGATATTGATAGGCATAAGCATATATGTACCTGCATATATGTAGCATAAGGTGGCTGTGCTATTTACAATCGTGACAGGTTTTCATGTATGTTTATTCAGCAGCCTGACAGCAGTCAGTATGAACGAGCGGCGGTATCTCTCCTTCTTGCAGCGCGGGTGTAACAGTCTCTGGCTGAAGGAGCTACCCAGTGCTGTCAGGGCGGGCTGGAGGGGGTGGGAGGGACTGTCCATCATAGCTTTTAGCTTAGGCTAGCATCCTCCTGTTGCCCACCTCCTCCAGAGTGTCCAGGGAGCAGCCAAGGACAGAACTGGCCCTCCTGACCAGTCGCTCCAGTCGCTTTCTGTCCCTGGCTGAGATGCTGCCTGACCAGCAGACAATGCCATAATGGATGGCCGAAGCCACCACCGAGTTATAGAAGGTCTTAAGGAGTGACCCCTGAACCTTATCCAATATGTCACCTTTTCTTGGTGGAAAATGTATATTGTGGGTTTATCGTTATTTTTTGAAGAATTTGGGGTTTTTTAAAAGGAAAAAGATTAATTTTGTGTGGGTAGAGGGGGATAAATTCAAAGGGCCACTTTGAGTGTGGTCGGGGACTGCATGTGGCCCATTCCTGAATGAAATGTAAAAAAAAAAACAAAAAACAAAAACAAACAAAAAAAAATAGAAATATTAATGCACATTAGATTTCCATTTAAAACCAAATGTGGAGTCAATACCTTTTAAGTTTCATGATATAATTCTCTGAACAGGTGTATAAAAACAGTGTATCTTTACACATTCATTTAAATTTAATTATCCATACCGCGTACCCTCACTTGTTTATTCTGAATTATGGTTAGTGAATTGGGCAGATGTAACTCTGAACATCGATATTGGGGATAGATTAAATTTTACTCTATTTTTGAGCGGGACAAAATATCTGAATCGATGAAAAATTCAACTCTCTAAGAGTATTGTCACTTCGTTTTTTTTTCCTTTGTGTATTGTTGCTGTAATTGTTCACATTGAACAGACTGAGTGAGAGAGAGACTTTATTTACCATATTAATTTCATCGTCCAGCACTGTGAAGATTAGTGAGCACCTCCGTCTCGCAGTACAGAGGGGTTTGATTATGTGCTTCCTGTGTGCAGTTTGCATGTTCTCCCCGTTGTTTTCTCTGGGAAATCTGGTTTCCTCCCACATTCCAAAAACATGCATAGAACGCTCTAAATTGTCCTTCGGCGTGATTGTGAGCATGAATGGTTGTTTTGTTTATGTGTGTTCCGCGATTAGCAGGCAACCAGTTTCGGGTGTAGTCCACCTACTGCCCGGAGAGAGCTTGGATAGGCTCCAGCATGCCCACGACCTTCGTGAGGATAAACGGATTAGAAAATGGATGCATGGACATTGTTAATTCTTTTTGCTGTGCAATGATGAGATTATATCACTGAGAGATGAGGAAAGTGTTTTATTCACCTGACCCCAGTCCCATGGAATGTGAAGGCAAGCTCCGGCTAAAAAACAAAAAAGGGAATAATTGCTCAGTATTTACCACTCTGTTTTTACGATGCACATGACAAATCATCTTAATCTTAACATTCATACCTTTTTTTTTTTTTTTTTGGTAGGCTATCTGTTGCACTTTATTGAATTGCACCTGTGACAACTTTAAGCCTGGGAAGCTGAAACGTCGGCAGTGTGAAAACTGCAAGCATGGCTGGGTTGCACATGGTAAGAGCGGAAATGTTTTCTCTAGTACAAGGTATATTCATACTTATATATTGACTTTATTGTTGTGCAGCTCTGATATAGGATGACAGGACATTTTTCACTGTTTTTGAGTATTTCATCCCACAATTGGTTAAACATTTCAGGGGTGGGAGATGTGGCATGTCTGCTTTCAGTCAAATTAAGGGGATATTCAGAAAATGCATCGATTTTCTTGAGTTGTGGGCCCTGCAGTTAGTTGAATTACATTTTAATTACAGTGGAACCTCAAGTTTCAAACGCCATTGATTTTGTGTGTCCATTTGTAACATGTTCATGAATCGTGATAATGTTTCCCATTGAAATGAATGGAAATGCAATAACAGTATTTTCATGCCCTTAAGACACTCATAAAAGTCTTAAATTTTTTCCAAAATAGTCAGGGCACCTAATAATGCAAGTCGCCTTGTGTATGCACCGAGTTCCAAAATCTGTGACTGCTGTTGCGTGACTTCGATGAGGGTTCCGGTTGACAGACTGATGTTGTGCCGACACGTTGCTTAAATAGAGGAAAGCCAAACGTAACTGTGGACACCATATGGATGTTAAAGTGGGAAGGGTGGGCGTGAAAGAGGACACCATAGGCACGCGCCCAGTAGGTGGCGGTATGTGCATTGCGCAAAATAACATCTCGTAAATGGCGCCGACGAAGAGACGCTGATGAAGCACAGTTTAAACTGCAAGCTATCAGTTATGCGGAGGTCTATGAGAATCGAGCAGCCATGAGAGAATTCAAGATCAACTAATCCATGGTGCTTGGTGCTTATGTTTTATGAAATGGCGTCATCTATCCATCCAGGCAAAGACGACCGTGCCGCAGCACCATCCGGCAGATTACAAGGAAAAGCTGGTCATCTTCTGCTCCTATTGCAGTAAAGAGTGTAATGCCTTACATTAAATAAAGATGCATTCTTGGTTATTTTAATCCTTTATTTCGCCGCTCTGATGGTCTTACTTGGCTTCCATTACTGACTGTTCTTTCAAACAATCCCCTGACTCCTCCATACTTTCTTGGGCTACAGCAAGCGATGTGGGAAAGGCCTACTTTGCATTTTGAAATGCAACAAAAAAATTGCCGACGGAACCGCACGCTAGAAAATTGAGTTTCATTGTTACTCACCTTCTCGTCGGAGACGCCAAATCTAGCAAAGGTTGTGTTCAATCTCTGTATGACCTGAGATGTGGTCGTTGTTGGCAGGTGCAGTATATCCAGGAATCGTGAATAGTAGTCCAAAACCAGGAGATGTTCACAGAGATCAAGACCGATCTGTTTCCATGGATGATTGGGCAGCACTGGGGGGATAAGGGATTCCTTGTTTTAGCCTCGCCTAATCTCCAAACACTTCTGGCATGACTCCACAATGGTCTTGAGTTCCACAGAGTGTCCAGGCCACCATACTGATCCTTTGGCCCTGTCTCTGCACTTTGTTTGCCCCTGATTTCCACCATGTATCTTTTGCAAGAGCTCTGCTCTTATTTTCCTCTGATATACAATTTTGCAAAGTCTCTAATGTGTAGCGGAACTTTGTTGCAGTTCACGGTCAGTGGCTGTTGCCATTCTGATGCAACTGGGGAGGCAGAGACGCGATGCAACACTGTGGCTACGTAGCAGGCCACATCTTCATGTATGTCCGCTCTGTCCATTACATGTGCTTGAGGGTTACGAGACAGAGTGTCTGCCACAGTGTCTTCCCAGGTACATATTCTGCTTTTGTATTGTACCTCAGGAGTCTCATCAGTAGTCGCTGACATCTCACGGGAACATTGTCTCGGCCTCGGCTGTTGACAAGTAGTACCAATGGCTTGTGGTCAGTCTCAAGCCAAAACTGACCCAAGCTACAGAGGTATTCATCAAATTTCTCACATGCTCATAAACTGGCCAGGCATTCCATCTCAATTTGCGCATACTGTGTTTTGTCTTCTGTGAGACGTCTGGAGCAGAAGGCTACTGGCTTCCATTCTTCTCCATGGAGCTGGAAAAGCACACCCCCCAGGCCATAGCTGCTCGCATCAGCTGACGCAGCAGTGGTTCTAGTGACATCATAGAAGGCGAGAACTGGTACAGTTGCTAGGATCTCCTTGATGTTCTGAAAGGCTGACTTCTGTGAGTAGCTCCACGTCCTAGTGTTCTTGCTCTTCAGAAGCTCATAAAATGGCTGATGTAGTTCGCTTGGGGACATACCTTCTGAGATGGTTCTCCATAACAAGGACTCTCTTTAGCTCATGAACGTTTTCTAGTGGTGCTAGCTGGTGGATGCCTTCAACCTTTTCTGAATCGGGCTTGCCCCCTGACTGGTCATTGATGTGTCCCAGAAAACATAGCTGACTCTGTCTGAAGGTGCATTTGTCCTTGTTGAGTTTCAGGCCTGCTAACTACACGCATAACCTTCAGCATTTGGAAGGGCACACGGCGGGCGGTGTGCACACACGTGTAGCGTAGCATCATCCTGAAGATGTTTTTTGATAGGCTCAGTTTTTAGAGTGCCATGCTCACAAAAAGGATATTGGAAGCCATGAATGGTCTGATCCACTTGCCTATTAGGCTCATCTTTGCTCACAGAGGTCTGCTAAGTAGGTTCCTGATAGTTGGGCCGTACACTATCGATGCTTCAAATGTATATTTACTTTCTTTAAAGCAAACTGTGGCGGTGGTGTGATCAAGACACAATATATCACCTCTGGGGTTGTCGAGGGAGATTTCAGTTGGTATCAGGCCTCGTCGTGGGGTGAGTTTCTGGAATGAATCCTCACTTACTACAGGTGCAGAGATATCCTGGCTTTGTATTTGTTTTTCTTTTGAACGGGCACCCCGGACACACGGTTGCTTGTGTCGCCCACTTGATAATGCCAGCTTTCTCCATCCTGTGTAATTCCTCTTTCACTTTGTCAAGGAAGGGCACACGGTAGGCAGTGTGAATCATGTGTGGCATCGCATCATCCTCCAGATGGATTTTGACAGGCTCAGAGTGCCATGCTCATCAAAAGCTTGCTGAAAGCGATCAATGGTTAGTGTCACATGATCCATTCGCCATACTAGTTTCATTTTTACTGACAGGGTCTGCTAAGTAGGTTCCCTCCCGATTCACAACCAATTCGCAATGTTCTGAAAGGTCGGAAAAGGCTCGGATGAAACACTCTGCTTTTTCACCCAGTCGCTGAATACGCTGGTGGAAACATGTTAGTTAGTTAGTTAGTTAGTTAGTTAGTTAGTTAGTTAGTTAGTTAGTTAGTTAGTTAGTTAGTTAGTTAGTTAGTTAGTT